GCAAAAAGTACTGGTTGCATGATTTTTCCGCTCGATAGACACTCGACGGTCGCTCGAACGCAAGACTAAGTAAACAGGGTCCTCGCTCGAGCGCAACTTTGGTCGCTTGAGCAGTCTGTAAAGTTTTGTAAAACTTTTGGGAGCATGAATTTTACGCTCGAGCTTAGACTTATTTGCTTGAGTGGATGCACAAAACAAATGGTGGTTGCTCAAGCGCAACTTTTGTCACTGAAGCGGTGATGCAGAATTCTGAAATTTTCAGATTACACGCCTAGCTTCAAAACTCAATTTCAAACTAACAAAACACATCATTTTGGACCCAAAACTTGAGGAAACATATGTAAACTTGTAACACAAATTAAGAATCATTTCTCAAAATCAAGGCCCAAGAGTAAGTCAATTGTCCAAAATTCAACTTAAAACTTAAAGAACATGACTTTCATGTAATGATATGAGCTTTAACTTTCCAAAACATGATCAATTGAAGTCAAAATGGTAAGAAATGTGATGAATTCTTAAAACTAAACTAGAATTACCACATGCATGAGAGAATTCTTTTGAAAATAACCTCAAAACTCCATGAAATGCATATACATGCATGGTTAACTGTTTTTTTCTACTAGGCTTAGATCATTCATGCATCTCATAGCTTAATTCCCCTGACGTCATGCATTAACAAACTAAATTACAAAACTAGAGGCTAGAATTCTTACCTTAGAAGCTTAATTGTGTTCTAGATGTTCAATTACTTGAATTTCCAGGTCAAAACCTTCAATTTTCCAAGAGATTCTTCCTTTCCAAGCTTTGGTCTCAATTCTCTTTTGGTCTCTCTCTCTCTCTCTCTCTCTCTCTTTCTCTCATACACATTTAGGAGCTCAAGATGACAAAATAAGAGTATTTCTCATATTCTAGAATCAAATTAGCCTTATATAGGCTTGGTTTAATTAAGCTAAATTAATTCTTGCTTAGGCTAATTGACTTTGATTAATTTATTCTAATTATTTGATTCTGAATCGAATTTCAATTAAATCTACCATAAAATTCTAAAAATTCCAACTTACACATAAACTTAGTCAATTTTGTGTTCACATGTCGATAAGTGTCACAACCCAAACCCGCCTTTATAAGTTTAGCGTCGTAACTGGCCAGTAATCCTTGGATTACCAAATGCCTCTTAGCGGAATAACATATATTTAGGAGCTGCAGAAATAAATATACGAAATATACATAGCCATAGAGCTGTGCAGACATATATAGGATAGAAAATTTTAAACCTTTTACAAATATACGTGACGTCATAATGCAGGTCTTACGTCACATCCAATACAAAGTGGCCAAAAGGGACTTAGCCCAATATATACATAATAGAAAACTTGTTCATATGGCTGACAAAACAGAATCTTAGGCCATCAACTTTGGGACTGGTCACGTGCCTGCTCACCTACATACATAATAACAAATAGTGAGCTAGTAATAATAACAAAGTAAAGGGTTTTAATGAATGATGTCCATCATAGAGTCAGAAATCAGAGTTTATATCAGAAGTAGATTTTTATCAAAAACAGAACCTTATGTATAATCAGATTTCATATCAAAAACAGATTCATATACATATTCTGTCGTCATAGCAGAAACAGATTCATACACATAGTTGCATTCTTATTCAAAGTTCGTATATTTCTCATCATAGTACGCGGCACATCCATTTGCGTTAACAAATCTGATAACCCATAAAGGGACAACCGTAAAGGGCATTTCGATAACTCATGTGCATAGAGACATTTTCGATGACCCACAGAGGGGCTACCATGATGGCATTCCGATGACCCATAAAGGGACGGCCAAAAGGTATTCTGATAACTCTCGTGCATAGAGAGGTTTCCGATGACCCATAATTGGGATGGTCATAAGGTATTTCGATGACTCTTGTGCATAGAAACGTTTCCAATGACCCTTAATTGGAACACATATCATATGATGCTAAGGATGCCACGAATACATTTCAGAAACTTGGACAATCATTTATTCATTCATACAAAACATAGCATTTCAGAAAACTGATCACTTTCATATCATAATGTTTAGAAAATATTTAACATTGAACATAATTTTACAAAGTTATTACTCACAATGGTTTGTATTGCCACTAAGCTTCGGATGTCCACCTAAACAAAACACATAACGAAAGCACAATTGAAACACCATTTCATTTTAATTCAGTTTTTTCTTTATGTGTGTTTCTAGCTTATTTCATGACTATAAGAGTCCAAATGGTGCTTAAGAACACTTGGGGTGGCATGAGGATGCAAATATGCACTTAAAAGAGTTAGTCAAAAGTTGCTAAAAACAGGGTCTCCGCTCGAGCGCAATTTCTTTCACTTGAGCGGGGGTTCAAAATAAGGGTGGTCACTCGAGCGTAACTTCCGCCGCTCGAGTGGTCTACAAATTTGGCAAAAGTACTGGTTGCGTGAAATTCTCACTCGACGGTCGCTCGAGCGGAAGACTGAATAAAAGAGGTCCTCGCTCAAGCGCCACTTTGGTCGCTCGAGCAACCTGTAAAATTTTGTAAAACTTTTGGGAGCTCGATTTTCATGCTCGAGCGACACTTTCCTCATTCGAGCGGATAGTGCAAATTTTGGAATTTCTAGAATTTCCTTTAAACTTCAAAACACAAATTCAAAACCACAAATCATATTCTTTTAAGCCAAAACTCAAGAAAACTTGTCTAAACTTGAAAAATATTGAGAATTAAAGATCATTTCAAGAAATCAAAGCCAAAAGATATGTCAATTGTGCAAAATTTAACTTGAAATGTAAGAATATGATGTGAACATAACATGCATGTATTCATTTGAGTTCATAGCTTCCAAAATATGATCAAATGAGGTCTAATGATGAGAAATGTCATGAATTCTTCAAATCATGCTAGAATTGCAACATACATAAGAGGAATTCTTTGAAAACAACTTCAAAATGTTATGAAACATGCATGCATGGCATGGCATGATCTAGACTTTTTCATTCTAGTTCAATTTCAACTCAACTCTCTTGTATTCATGAACTTACTAACTCAAAAGCAAAACCAAAGGCTTGAATTTTTAACTTAGATGCTCAATTGCACTCTACGCGGTTAATTTTTGAAGTCCCAAGCCAAAACTTCCAAGTTCTCTAACAATTCCCTTGCTGATTACTTCTCTCTAGGTCTCTCTTCCCCTCTCATGTTTGTAGGCTTAAGAGATGAGGAATGAGAGTGTTTTTATTATTCTTGAGTCATTCTTGGTTTTATATAGGCTTGTCTAATGATGGTTAATTAAGGCTAATTAAGTGAGCATCAAATTAATCTAATTTAATCGTTCCGAATCGAATTTTAATTAAACCTACCATAAAATTCTAAAAATTCCAATGAACACATAAATCAAGTTAATTTCGTGGTCGGATGCCGATAAGGCCTTCAATTCGTAGAACGAAACAGAAACGAAAATAGATATTCCTGTGATAAACATATATAAACACAATAAAGCAATACACACATGCAATAAATTCAGAATTTCACCTTAATTACTTATTAGGCTTATTTAACCATGAATTAACGTAAATCAAAGATCAGAGTTGTTACAATAAGGCCCTCAATTTACACATCGAAACAAAAATTCAGATAGATCTTCCTACGATAGATAGATATAAGCGCAAATAACACATATAACACACAATCAACACATGATTCATCTCAATTACTCATTAGGCATCCTTAATTACGAATTATAAGCTAATTATAGGTTGGGGTTGTTACACATAGGCTCATTAAGCTTAGACTAATTAATTATGATTAAGGCTAAGTTAGTTCAACTTAATAATTAATTTATTCTAATCATTTGGATCCGAATTGAATTCCAATTAAACCTCTCATAAAATTCTAAAAATTCCAAATAACACGTTGACTTATTAGTCAATTTTATGTTCGAATACCGATAAGGCCTTTAATTTTAAATATGGAAACAGAATTTTAGACAGATATTCCTATAACAGACAGATAGAGACACAAATAGCATGCAAAACACACAATTAACCCATAATTCCACTTAACCACTTAATTAATATTCTTAATTACGGATCGGAGTTGTCACACTTTGTCTCATATATTTTTTAATTATCAACTAATCATCCCACTTATAAATTATTAGGTCTAAAAAGTAAGTCTAAAAAATAGATTTATATATCATTTTTTAATAGAAAATACACTAAACAATCTGACGTAAATTTTAAAAAATAATAATTAAGAGTAAGTCTATATACATGGAAACCAAATACAGAATGAGATACAACCTTCTTATAAGGTATCCCATTGAAAAATTAACCCTAAGGGATTGGCCTAGTAAGTGTAGCTTAGGACTTGAGGATATAATTTTTCCAGATCTCAAGTTCAACTTCTATTACGTTATCAACTTTTTAAGGCTACGTGCACGACTCTATTTAAGATTTACTTAGGAGTTGTTTGGGATGACTTAAATAAGTATATTTTTTGTCTTTTCATAAAAAGATGTGTAGAAAAATAGAGATGTGATGTGATGAAAAAAAGATAAAAAAATAAAAAGATGAATTATTTTAAAATTACCAAACTTGGTATTAATTTGCAAGGAGTAAAAGGAGAGGTTTAAGGCACAATCTGAGATTCATTCAATCCAAATGAAAAATGACATTTTACATGAATTTCAAAATTTATCACAGTACACTGTCTGACATTTTACATGAACTAACCCAATTAACAGGTCATAAAAAAAATAAAAATTAAAAAAAATTTACAAACACATTAGACAAGCTGGTTGTCATAAATGCATGTTTACCTAACCTTAATTATGTGAAATTATATCAACGGCCCTGATGACAGGCATGACGCATCCACAGCCATACTGTTGTCGATGATGATGTCCTTTTCTCTACTTAAAAAGTATGCAATCAAAGTATATCTCACTCACTTTATAACTCTCTTTTTACTCTCTCTCTCTCTCTCTCTCTCTGGCATATGATACACAATCCATTGTAATCACAAGTCACAAAAAGTCAAGCCCACTTAGTCAATAAAACCATGGCCATGAATCTCACTTTCCTGATTACACCTCCACACTTCCTCTGAAAAGTCTACACAACCAAACACCCAAAAACACAAAGCAAAAACAAAAACAAACCATAAAACTAGGGCTCCAACCACCCCGGCGAGTTGTCTGCTTTTCCGGCGAAGATGGAGCTGCTGAGCCCTAGACACCCCCCGGGACCTGCCGGAGATAGCTTTTCTGGGTTTTCGCCTCCGGCGAGTTTCCAACATGAGTTTGATCGGACGAGTCGGACGGTGACTTCTCAGCTGCCGGAAATTGTCGAAGAAGGCGGTGCCGGAGTACACGTGGCGGTCGGGAAGTCGGTCGACAAAGCTGTTGCTTTGCTCCGGTGGACTTTCCAGAAATTCGAAGGCGGAGAGATTTGCATTCTTCATGTTCATCAGCCTTCTCCCTTGATTCCCACTCTCCGTAATCTTCTCTCTCTCTCTCTCTCTATGTATATATATCTATTTGTGTACATGTATCTATGTGTTGTCTGTAAATGGAATGTTTTTCTTGAATTCTCGAATGCTTAGTTTGATCTGCGATTCATTTGGACTTCTGATGTTTCTATAACCTTGTGAATTGTTTGTTTGGCTGCTGGGAAAATGTAGTGAGAATTGAGATGTCGCATCTCAAAATTTAGTAATTTTGGCCTAATTTTAAAATATTTTTAGATCAATTCTGCCTAATTTGATGATTGCCTTTGGTTGAGGCAGGATTTGTCCACAAACCAATCTACATGAAAAATGTGATTTTTTTTTTCTTTTTTGAAATTTTCTTTTCTTTTATTTTCTTTTGTGGCTGATTGGAAGTAATGAATTGTTTAAAATCATCTTTCATTTATAAAATGCACTTAATGTGTTTTGCAGTGGGGAAGCTACCAGCAAGTCAAGCAAGTAGTGAAGTGGTATCTGCATACAGGAAGGAGGAGAGAGAACAGATGAGGAAACTTTTAGTCAATTACTTGGGCATATGCTATCAATCAAAGGTTTTCTTCTCTTTAATTTTACACGAGTCTAGTTGTTTGCATGTAATGTCATACAACGATAACAGAAAACATTTCTTTCATTCAGCAATCTATACTTCTATTTATTCATGTAACTTTTTGTAGTACTTTTTTTTTTCTCCTTTAGTTTTTTTTTAAAAGTGTTTTGGCTTTAGAGAGCACTCCATTGACCTTGGCTACATTCAAATTACTTTTAGTTGTATAGAAATTTAATGAGCTTTTCTTCATATGGAAAATCAGATCCATGTCACCAACTCCATGCAATAGAGGAGCAATTCAATGTTGTCTTATAGACAAACTTTAGTTGATTGGAATGTGGTTACAACATGACAATCTTGATGGTTAAATCACGGGCTGAAAAGTGGTTGCTTTATGCTATGTTTGGCTCGTGTATTTGGGCAGCGATTTGGAAAGAGAAAGAAAAAAGTTAGGCAAAATGTAAATGAAATATAATTACGTTCCACCTACATTTTACGCACCTTTTTCCTTTCCTTTTCCGTTTCCAGATCCCTTCGCAAATCCATGAACCAAATATAACCTAAGGGTATCTTAGATCTTTAACGCTACCTTTTGAGCTCTTGCAGGGGTTGTCCATATTACAGCCATCTTAAACGATAGTCATAAATGTAACAAAAGTAAGATATCGCGTCAACATCTCATTCATTTGTTACATGACCAACAAAATCACTAATCTTTTTTAAGATTTTAATTTATGGTTGTAGTAGTTGAATCCCATACCTCTTAGCATGGTGTTTGGTAAAATCAGATCCTAGAAATTTTATTGGGAAATTGTAACTACTGTTGTAATTTCAAGATTCCAGTACAGGTACACTGTTGACAAAAGATACACACATCTTATCAATGACAGAATATTGCTTTCTCTAAATAGTTGGGATGCTATTATTTATCATTTCATCTAATATGTTAGAATTACGAGTTTTTTTTCTGCTTATGTTATGCCAATCCTAACATGGTTTGTCTTAGTCGTTGTAACATTAATGGGATGAGAACACACCATTTTTATTGATAAGTTTTATTTTTTATTTAATTTAATTTTTATTTTTCCAAGAATGAACTCATTTCATTGATTTCCTTCTTTGTTTGACACATGGAAATGATGGAAGCAAATGAGTTTTCCTTCAACTCATTTTTTTAACTTATGGAAGTCAATTTATGATGAATTTCACCATTTATCACTGCTCATTAAGAATTTTTCTAAGAAAGATATGATTTAGTGATAATTAATGTGAAGATATAAAGAGTAGTTTGTTCTTCTACTGAGATTCTAGGGCTGATCTTCGAAGTTTTGAACAAAGTGTTATCTTTATCTTTTTTGGTCTCTTATGTCTTGCGTTTAGTTGAAACTTGAAACTCATTTTTAAATAGTTTCGTCATAGTAACTGTAGTTATCTTATGAAAAACAATCACATTTCAGGTTAAAGCAAGTGTCATTGTAACTGAAGCTTCTCAAGTTCAAAAGGAAATTGTAGATCTGGTGAACAAACGTGGTATCAGGAAGCTTGTTATGGGAGCTGTGCCAGAAAAGTAAGTGGTTCATTTTTGCCTATAAAAATTCAAATAACCTCTTTTATATGCTTCAGATTTGCAGTAATAACTTCTTGGGTTATGTGTGGAAACTTCAGATGAACAAGAACTACAAAGTAGTAGTTGTTGTCATTGAAGATTCTAGTTTTAATCGCAGCAATCCTGTTGCAAGGATAACAGGATTGCTTTTTTCTTTTTTTGGAAAGATGTAGATGTATTCATTTATTAACTTCCAAATTTCCTAAAACTAGGAAAATATCATTGTTGGCAAAGAATATCTGAAAATTCCTAGTTATGCCTTATGGGATACATGTTGAACATATTGGAGGAAACTGAGGGAAAGGTCTCCTGTTGCATCAACTTTTTTCTTAACACAATGGGAGAACTTAATTTTGTTCACGTGCTTATTTATCACTTCTTTCATTGCAGTAAAAAAGTATGCAGTCTTGTTTCATGAACATTATTGTAACTCGGTTCAGGAAAACAAAGCTATTGAACCTGTTATTGATATAAATATCTTTACCACAGTGCTATTGTATCTAGATGTGGCAGGAAGTATATATGAAAGTTTAGCTTAGAAAGTCAGGAAAAAAATTGAAATTTGTAAAAGACTAGCACAGGAAGGATTGGCAATGTTAATGAACTGCAAATAGCCAAACTGCGAACGAATTTGTGAAAGGCAACAGCTGGCTTCATTTAGGATCCAGAAAAACTGCAAGAAAATTTGTTTTTATGTCAAGCTGAACAAACTTAGCATTGAAATGTAAGCTGCTCAAACTGGCTTACTTAATAATAAGCCCTCAAATTTTTCCTTATGCAGTGTAAGACAAAGGCTTGTCAATAAATATAGAATAATGCTAGCAACATTTGTGGAAATGTTGGTAAAACATTTGGAGTCTCTAGCATTTTCCATAAATATATCATTTTCTCATCTTTTGGTTTGAACTCCTCGTTTTAACCTTATAGGTTGGCATTATGCAAATGAAAATCTTGGATAATAATTCATATAAAGTCATTTATAGTTTAAGTCAATGTTGAAATTGGTTAATTTTACATTTAAAATTACCTTGGAGGAACTTTAGAAAGCCTTTCAAGCGAAGAATAGAAACAAGAAACTATTGGTGGTGCAGTAAGAAAATTTGTTTGAAGGACACATGCTTCAAAAGGTGTGCATTAAGTAATGGGTCACAAGTTGAAAAATATTGCATCATTGCTGGATTGCATAATGCGATACAGGAAGTGTCACCTACTTCTTTTAGAAATGTGTTTCTAGATATTTTTTCTTTTGTGTCTGTTTCTAATCTAATCATCAAGAAGATTCACAATTGTCAACGATAGGTTATGCTTTCTACTTTAACGTCCATGCCATAGGTTATCATGTTGTGTTAGTTGACTTTAGCCTCTTTTGATAGCCTTCCTAGCATAAGAAAGGTTTACATGGGCACATCTTGCAAAACTGAATTGGCTTGAAGGAAGCCATGATTGCGTGAGAAGGGAGGGTACGATAATTTCATTAGTTCTTTTAACTCCGTCAGAAGCCAATTTATATTACTACAAAGGCTAAGATATTATTCCCGTTGTATATGTTGTGTATACAATATTAAGAGATAAAAGATTGGGAATTAACTGTATTTGGTATTTCAAATGCAATATTATGCCTTGTTCCATGAATCTGCATGATGAAACTGCGGAATCCGGGTAATTGTTTAATTGGTTCTATGTTGTCACACACACTCATGCACGCACATATATCTCTAAACATGTATATGTGTATGTATGCATGAACATATGTATATTAGAGTTCTGCCACAGTTGCATGCTCTGGAAATTTTTTTGGCTCTACTGCTCCTGTACCTATATGTTAGTTTCTCGATGACAATTTCATGGAATTTTCCTTATCTTAGTATACAACCTAATGGTATGAAACAGTTGTATGAAGGTGAAAAAGAGCTCTAGCAAAGCAAGTTATGCTGCAAAAAATGCTCCCCAATTCTGTGAGATATGGTTTGTCAACAAAGGGAAACACATGTGGACACGAGAAGCTTTTGAAGGCCCACGACCTCTGGAGCCCATCAGTCCTCGAGAGACTGGAACTGCAGACAATTTAAGATCCAAATCATTGCAATGTCATAAGAAAGAGCTCATATCCCATCCAGAATGTCTTCGGTCCAGCTCTGCGTCTGCGGGAAATAGATATTGGGTTCATGCCGGAGCAGTTCAAACAGAAGTGGCTTTAACATCCTCTTTACCCAATTCTATCAACATATCTGATCCACACTATTTTCTCAGCTTTTCAAGTCCAACAAGCACTAGCTCTAGTTCTGGATATACTTCTTCTGCTGGACAAAGGGTGTCTTCAGATTCTTCGACTAATGTCGATGAAGAAAGCTTACACGCTCAACTTACAGAAATAAGAATAGAAGTTAAGGCATCAAGGGATGAAGCATTTCCAGAGTTTTTGAAGCGCAAAAATTTAGAAACTCGAGCTGTGGAAGCTATCAGCAAGGTAAAGCTTTAGATTTTTGTGCTTACTTTCTTAAACTTTGAACCAATTTGTCCCGTACTTGTATCATAACTAACCATACCAGTGGGGACAAGAAATTGTGGTTTGATAACTTTGAAAGCTGATGTGTCAAGAAGTCTTGAAGGCTGCCCCTATGATCTAGTTGTTTTGTAGAATAATCTGGCTGCTCCTATAAAAAATGTCTCTAGTTACTGTTCCTTCACTCATTGACTAAATTTCTATGCATCTTTTGAATAACATAAGTTAGAGGAAAGTAAACTTGGAAATGATTTCATTTTCAATCTAGACTATGTCTTTGCAATTTATTTCTTTTGTTGTTTTGGATGATGAACAAAACATCCCATTAATCGAGGTGTCACCTCATGAAGCTGACCCATGGGGAAGTGGCATGACAATGAGGTGTGGCCTAGGTGGCCTGCCACATGGGAAAATGGACCCATGTACTTCATTACTTTACAAATATAAGTCAAATGATGGACAGTTTGCATGTATGCTAATAATTACAGCTATCAAATGGATATTAATTTTTCACCAGAATTTGTGTCACCCCTGACATATTGTTAACTCATGATTCCATTGTTGGGAATATAGTGGGAAAGATATTTTGAGATATATGTTATAACTATTCCTTTGATTGTGGCAGTTTGAGATATATGTTATAACTATTCCTTTGAGATATATGAACTTACAGTTTTAGTCGTGGCCTATGTAATGTCTAAATTTCTTTTTTCTAGTGTTATTCTGCTCTAAGAAAATTTTCTCTGATATATCCAGGTCAAAGCTTTGGAATCTGCTCATGCACATGAAATCAAACTTAGAAAAGATGCTGAAGATGCACTGAAAATGACGATACAGGAACAAGAAAAGCTCTTGGAAGAAAGAGAAGAAGTAACTAGAGAGCTACATATGGCCATGAGAAATATAGCTCTTCTAGATAGTCGTGCACAAGAAGCAAATCGTCGGCGAGAAGAGGCTGCCGGAGAATTAGAACTCATTCAAACATCCATTGCAGCTCTGCAGCATGAAAAACAGAAGATACGGCGGCAGAAAATGGAAGCTACACATTGGCTTGATCGTTGGAAAAGTCGTGGACAAGCTGGAGGTGGTGCAAATTACATTGGGTTGTTTGGGTTTAATGAAGATTCATCCGAGCTAGCAGAATTTTCATTAGCAGATCTGCAAACTGCGACTTGCAATTTCTCGGAGAGCTTCAAGATTGGGCAAAGTGGATATGGTTGTGTGTATAAGGGGGAAATGTTGGATCGAACCGTTGCTATAAAGAAGCTGAATCCACATACCATGCAACGACAGTCGGAATTTCAGCAAGAGGTCAGCATCTCTCTCTTCCTTTCTGATACACGCACATAAGAAATGGAGAAATTAAAGAGGAAAATAGAGTAAAAAAGTTATTTTATTATAATATTTGCACAACTGTAAGTATGAAGGATTTCATATCACTGCTTTTACATTGTTATTTCAATTCCTTCATGGAAAGCTCTAAAATTCCATACTGAAACTCATCTAAATTATCATATCATAATTTGAGCTATTCTCCTTGAATGATTAGTGCCCAAATCCTTTTATTTCAAATCTATAAATCTAAGCGCAGCCTAATTGTTTTTCTCAATCTCAAAACTCCGTGTAGTTTTTTAATGTTCATTTAATATAATCAGGTCAATTAAGAAACTGCATTAAAATGGTTGGATCAAGTGATAATTTTAAAACTTATGTCTTGGATATGTCTGGTGGGACACATTAAATGTTGAGTTGTAATGTTCCATCCTTTCTATTATTATTATTATTATTTTTATTTATAGTTCCGACATGCAATCCCATGCTGTGTATAAGATGTGTAGAAATGAAAGAACTAAACTTTCTGTCAAATGTACTTGTAAGTCTCGTGCTTTCAATGATATCATTTATTTTTGCTTGTGCAGGTTCAAGTTCTTGGCAAACTCCGACATCCTCACCTGGTGACTTTGTTTGGTGTATGTTCTGAAGCCTGGTCCCTCATACTTGAGTACATGCCTAGTGGAAACCTCCAAGATCGCCTTTTCCGACGAAGTAACATTTGTTCCCTGACCTGGAAGATTCGAGTACGAATCATTGCCGAAATTTCAAGTGCCCTTTTGTTCTTGCACTCGTTCAAACCTGAAAAGATTGTACACGGCGACCTAAAGCCGGAAAACATCCTTCTTGATTCCAATCTCAACTGCAAGCTATGTGATTTCGGGATTTGTAGACTAATGCCAGGAGAGACCCTCCGGTGCCCAAGTTTCCGGCGGTATACCGAGCCAAAGGGTGCTTTCTCATATACTGATCCGGAAGTTCACAGAACTGGGTCATTGACACCTAAGTCTGACGTTTACTCTTTTGGGCTGATCATTCTTCAGCTGCTCACTGGAAGGACTCCAGTGGGATTGGCTGGTGAGGTGCGCAAGGCAGTATCTTGTGGGAAATTAGTGTCGATCTTGGATTCATCGGCTGGAGAATGGCCTAACCTTGTGTCGAAGCAATTGGTGGATTTGGGGTTGCAATGCTGTGAATTGAACAGTAGGGATAGGCCTGAGCTAACACCTAGTTTGGTTAGGGAACTGGAGCAGTTGCATACCTCAGAAGAACTACCAGTGCCATCTTTCTTTTTGTGCCCTATCCTTAAGGTGAGTACTTCTTTCCATATATGATACAAATAGTTTTGAGTAATTGGCTTACTATAATAATTACGGATGGACTTAGCTATCGCCTTGGGGAGTCATGAAAACATTGCCTGGGGGAATTGTGGGCGCGAATGTAAACTTGAGGGGGTAGCTTCTATTTGTACACGACCTTTTTCTCAATTCATCAATTTTTCTCTTCAGATATTACTATTGAACAAAATTCAATTATTCGATTATAAACGACCGAACAAAAACCAATTGTTCAATATCGAGTACTGAACTGGGTTTTCGTTCGGTAGTTGATATCTGAACAAAAAAATTGTGTGAACTGAGAATTTTTGTAGTGTGCAAATAGAAGCTCTCAAACTTGAGCTTGCTTCTAACTGGTTCAAGAGCGTGTTCTCTGGCCTGAACAAGATGAGATCCTGCTGATGCTCCAAATGTTGCTTGATTTGCAATACTGGGCTCGACTTGCCAAGGCTCATCAATTGTAATAGGTGCTATGTAGCATTAACTGTTGTGTTGTGATGCTTTTTAGCTTTCTAGAGAACACTACAAGGTTTTTCTTTTTTTCATTCAAGTGGGAGCGTTGTGCTTGTGAGCAGGATTGATTAGCCTCAGTAATGCTCATGAAGAATCTTCAAGTTGGTGTATGCCCTAAGTGAACTACAAACTAAGCTTCAGAAGTGATTGAAGTAACTAAATTGGAATAGCCTTGTAGGTCCTATTTGGATTGAGAACAGAATTTTATTTCATTCCTGTGGTTTTTCTCGAGCAAGATGATTTATTTAATCTAGTGAATTTTTGTGAAAATGTTTTGCAGAACCGTACCTGACTCGGATTATTGGTGGTTTTGCTTTCAGGAGATAATGCACGATCCTCAGGTGGCAGCCGATGGATTCACCTACGAAGGAGATGCCCTGCGTGGATGGTTGGAAAATGGCCGAGAAACTTCCCCGATGACCAATTTGAGACTGGATCACTTGCATCTCACTCCCAACCATGCACTGAGACTTGCTATTCAAGATTGGCTTTGCAAAGTTTAACATACCATTTGTATACATTCAGTCTGTCATAATGTATATTTGTAGAGTCTTCTTGTATTTGGAGAAAAAAAAACCCTTTTACCATTGTATATCAATGCAATAACAGAGCAGGAATTGTTTTCTGTCTTCGACTCCCTGGATTTTCTGTTTGGAAAATTTTATTTACAGTTTAAAATTTAAAATTTGATGCTTAAGATGACTAATCATTTAAACTGGCAATCCAATCCACAGAGTCTGATTACAAACTCGAACACAGGACAGATAGAAGAAACATCTACTGTTACTAATAGCACAAGATCTGGTGAAAGAAATTAGTAGGCAAGATAACTACTTCCATCTCTCAGTTCTACACAAGTCTCAACTCTCAACATGCTTGCAAAAGTAGTTGTTGATCTGTGTTAGAAAGCAGAGACACAGCAGCTTGAATCTGGGTGTCATTGAATGGGTGATTATCTTCTCCACACACTCCAACTCTCTGATGATCATCTTTCTCACCATCCAAAAGAGGTTTCAACTCCATTTTCGGAGCCAAATTCTCTTTGAAACTCGCTCGAGCGCCTGAATTTTCAACCATCTGAGCATCACCAGAACAGTTCCAAGACTCTGAATTCTCCATTTTCTTGTTCAAATCTTCGTTCTCCGAGGACAAAAACTGATCTTCCTCATTTCCGTGATTGTTGAATTGAGAATTGCACCTTCCATATGTAACAGAATTTGATTCTGAAGAAGTTCTGTGGCAAAAGCTTCCGAATCCTTCGATCCCTCTGGTCAGTTTCCGAGCACGGTCCCTCTCTTCCCTGAGAAGAGGACCCCTTTCAAGTAGCTTTGAGATTCTCTCTGTTTTGTTCTTGACATTGAGGCCCCAATTGAATCTGCATATAGAGTAATTCAAAAACTAAGTAAACAAACACCCAAAAAAACAGAGCATCGAATAGAATAGAGCAACTGAGTTAATAAAGAATTAAAAAGAGTTGAGACCCTTTCTCATCAATATGTTGAAAGCTTCCAATCTCTGAGATAGCATCTCTGTCAGTCTGAAACTCCTCTGATACACTCTCTGGTCCATGGGTCAACAAGTGTTCTAGAACAATCAGAGCATTGTATGAAGATCTCCAGTTCTTTTTATCAAATTTAGCCAATCTGATCCACAAGATCAAACACAGTAACAGTGAAATACATGACAAAATTATAGAAATCACTTTCAAAAGTTCAAACACAAACCAAAACAGATCAAAAAGAACCAAAAACAAAAACCCAGAAACCTTTTGTGCAGAATCTCCACAATTCTCCAGTAATCATCAACTTCAAAAGCAGCCTTTGATATGATCTTCAGGATACGGGTTTCAGGAACCCATGGATTTCCATTGGTAGCTTCCTCAGTCAATCTTCATACACCACACAAAAGCAAAAAACAAAAAAACCCAGATCAAGAAGAGCTTAAATCTTAAAAACCCATGTCTATAATGATCATATATTTAACAAACATGCTTACAATTGAGCTGGGGTAACATCGGTCAGAGCCAACCGGGCAGTCTTGATCTTCTCCTTGAAGAAGAAGGAAGCTTGCTTCTTGAATTCATGGAAAAACGGGGCACCCATGTTGCCACTGTTGTTGCTGCCGCTTAGGATTGACATTTTCTCGGAATATAAAAGCTAAAGAAAGAGAAAGAAAGAACCTTCGATGCAACCAAGTAATGCTTATGTAATCAGAAGAAAATAAATAATGTGGGAGTATAGAAAAGAAAGGGACACTTGGTGAATTGGTATTTGGTGTGGGGGTGACAAATTCAAAGAAGAGTGTGAGTAATGGACACGATGTGTGTTGTGTTCTCCTTCTTCTTCTTGTTCTTCTTCTTCACTATAATAATGTGAAGTCCACATCTCTTAGTCAACGTCTGTTCTGGACTGCGGCTTTCCCGGTTTGAATTTGAAATTTTCTTTTACTCTAGACCCAATTGTTAATTTGCAATTCACATTTACATCTGGATGAATTTTTTTATTTTTTTAAATTTATCAGTGATAGGTTCAGTCATATGATTTTGTACAATTTTTTTTTGGATAATTGGTGAAAGTCCACACCCATAGAGTCCTATATTGTTTGGTTCAAAAGTTTTTTTTTTTTTTTTTGATAACGATATCCTCATGAAATTATTTAGTGGTATTTTAGGAAGTTGGTAAGAAGTTGATAAAAAGTTAAATTTTTGACTTTTTTTAGTATTTTTTAGCTAAAAAAATTAAAAATCTAAAAAATTTACTTTTTTAACTTCTTCCTAAAGTGCCTGAGAAACAACAATAATGGTGATCAGGATGGACATATAGGTGACGTAAACAATATACAAAGAGACAGATATATAATAAAATAATTTTTTAAATTATAATTGTATTTTTTAGTATCAAAAGTTTAGAAATTGACTTTTAGCTTAGTATTTTTTAAATAAAATTTTCTGTTTGGTACAATTTTTCAAACACATTAACTTTTTTGACTATAAAAAATATATATAAAATAACAATTAAAAAAAGTAAAGGAAAATTTTAATATACACTTTTAATTATATCATTTTCTGTTTTAGTTACAATATTATTTTAGTTACGACTTATAAATTTTTTAGTTATACCTCATATTATGTTTTGTTATTATAACATTTTTTATAGTAAATTACAAATACACCTCTTGATCTTTGCTTAAAATACGAATTGTCCCTTGTAGTTTGGGAAATTACAAATACCTCCCTATCAAAATTTTTATTTAACAGAATTAATTGAAAAGTGAAATTTCTAACTGTTCACCAATACAATAATAAAATTATCTGAATTATTAATTGAAATAAAATTTTAACATTATTAAAAACTGTTAATTAATTTAATGATTTATTAATAAAAAGACTTATTTGTTATGAAATTAGAAACCTTAGAAGCATAATGTAATTTATAAAATCACAGAGGATAATTTACAATTTAAGTAAACCTCAAGAGGTGTGTTTGTAATGGACCCTCTTTTTTTAGTTATACCTCAAAAAATTAAAATTATATAACTTTTTTTTTTAATTATAAAGTGCATATATACATCATAGTGTTTCCCAAAAATAAATTCCAAACAACTTACCAAATTTTTCTTAGCAATACTACAAACTCAAAATTATCTACCCAAAATTTATTCAAAAATAAGAATTAATTATTCAAATTTACTTCACTCATAAATCTCACGCTTTATTAATTTAACTTTTACCACACATCCATGGTAAATAAATTCTCAGATCCTAATTCCGGATCCCAGACATTTCCAATTTTTCTTCAGCCCACTACATGTATCATTGACTTTGTACTTTAATTAAAAATATTTGTGCACGTAAATATATAGAGAAAAATAAAAGAAGAAAAATGTATATATATACTTTATAATTAAAGAACAAAATAATATGATTTTATATTTTTTAAATCATAATTAAAAAAAAATTACAATCAAATAATACATGAGACATAATCAAAGATCTCATGAATCATAACTAAAATAAGATCATAACTAAAGAAAAAAATTAGTCATAATTAAATAAAAAATAACAAAATTTAAGAGTGCATATTGTATAAAATGTGTATAGTAGAATTTCTTTTTTTTATTATTTATTATTATTGTTATTGTTTTTTTTACTTCACCTTTTAATACTTTCACTTTTTATCATTTATTTATTTTTTCTAATCAAGCGATCCTAAAATTGTGTTTGATTCATAAATTTAGGTAAAGATTTGGAGGGGAAAAAAAAAGAGAGAAAAAATATGTGAAATACAAGTAAAATAAAGTTATATTTTATTCATATTTTACCTATATTTTTTTATTTTTTTATTTTAAATTTCTACTCAAATTCATGAATTAAACACAACAAAAATGAAATTGCAAAAGAAATCTTTATCACTTACTTTTGGTTAGGGGTGCGACTTGGGCAAGCTTAACCTGAGCAACTTGAACACAGACAGAATTTTTTTAGGGCTTGAACAAGATATTTTCAAATTAGATACAGCCTTGGGCAAAAAATTAGAAGCCCAAATTAAATTTAGAGGGGCTTGGGCGAAGACATTAAATAACCCGAGCAACTCGAAACCTGAATTATACATATATAGATATATAAAAATATTAAATATACATATAAATTATTAGCCATTACATGATATTAAAGTAATTTAGCTTATTAAATTATATTAAATATATATTATATATACAAATAATATAAAATCTTACCTTTTTTTTTTTATTTTCACTCATAAATTATAAAGACTATTATAGCGGTATCTCTCTTACATTATATAAATTATTTGTTTTGATGATATTAATGATTTTCTATAAATAAATAAAAAAATATAAATATAGTCAAATTTTAATAATTTAATAATGTAGCTGCAAAAAAAATAAAAATAAATAAATAAATAGAAATTCATTTACAATTCGAACAACTTAGACAATTCGAGTTTAACTCGGGTCGAGCTTGGGCAGCCAACCTTGGGTTACAATTCGGGTCTGGACGGGCCAAGGCAAGTCTCAGCACAACTTAAACTGAACTTGAACAACCTCCTAACCAAACCAAACTTGCCTGAATTACATTCCCACTTTCAATGATCCGCTAGTCTCTTCAGATGATACTTTTCTTTTCAGACAACAAAATAAATAAGTAATTTTAAAAAACTAAAGTTGTTTATATTGAATATTTTTGCTCAATATAGTTTAATTCATTGTAAATTAAGGTCTAAAAATATAAATATAACCTAAATTTTGTATATAATATGACCAACTATGCTGCAGATCCCCAATGGGAGTCGCACCCCCAATGAGATGGCGAGTCCACACTGACTGAAATTAAATAAATAAATAAATAAATAAAATAGTTTTTTTTTTGTCCAATCATAACGCGCCACCTCATTGGAGTAGTGGGGTCCGAAGCATTTTTCATAATATGACCCCCTCCAAATAAAATTCTGACTTTTTCCTTGAAAAACACAAATTGCAAATTGAGTCACGTTGGTCATATATAGATTATGTCATTTTCATGGTGGAATGCCCTCAAGACTAATTCAACTTGTTTAACTACTCCTTTCATTTTAAAATATTAATTCATTATTTTATTTTTTATTATTTTAAAATATTAGTTTTTTTTTTAAATTAAGAATTAAAATAATATAAATTTCTCATTTTATCTTTTTTTTTAAATATATTAACATAAAAAGTATAATTATGATAATTAATATTTTTTTAAAAAATATACTATCAAAAATTAATTTTGATAGTATATTATGAAAAAAAGTGCAATGATTGTATTATGAAAAAAATTATATTTCTTAAAAGGAACTATTATTTTGAAAAGGAAAGGGTAATCAAGTATTTTACCACTAACACTATCTACTTGTAAACATGATTCTATTTCATAAATAACAAAGGGTTTTTAAATTAGAAAAAGTTAAATGCACATTATTTAGTGTTATATGAGTTTTGCAGTAACTTAATCTATTTATTTTTTGTCAAGAAAGTATGAAGTATGGGTACTTTAAAAAAATATGTTGTACTCATATGATATTTACCGGCATATAGTACTTTTGTATACGTATCGGGAGTACATGAAACACGTACATAAATTTTTTTTAAATTTTTGACGTACCCAGAGGTACCTAATATATATCCAAGCTATATCATATATCAGTTAAAATAATATTTTCTTCTACTGCAAAGGTAAAATTCTTTTTAATAGACTTTTTTTTTTTATTTTTAGTTTTATGTCTAGCATGATTTTAAAATTAAGCTATGCTTTGTAAGTTATTTAATATATTGACATTTAATTTTGATTTATACATTTACTTTTAGCATTAAATGTTAATTGAATGTTAGATCTCAATAAATTAAACCATTTAATCAATTTTTACATTATTTTAAATTAAAAATAAATATTTTTTTATAAATATCCCAAGCCGTACTCATACCCTATTTTTTTTTAAATTTTACCGTATCGTACAAATATTTGTACCTGTACCCGTATTTCATAGTCCAGAAGTAATCAATCCTAACCCTTTAATTTAATAATTAGTATTGTATTATTTATAGATATTAGAGGCTTATGACAAGCTTGACCATAAAAGAATAAATTAATTAATTAAATTAAATTAAATTTTTATTTTTTTTAAACCATGACTCTTATTTTGTTTTTTTATTTTTAATTCTTAATAAATTATAGGGGATGCACCAATAAATTTCAAATTAATAACTTATACACTGTTTAGTCCTAAAAGTTTTCTTATAGACTGAAAGGTTCCATTACAATGTTTCAAACATCAGATTAATGTTTCGAACATTAGATTTTGAACATCAGATTAAAGTTTCGAACATTAGATTCCAAACATTAGATTAATGTTTCGAACATTAGATTGATGTGCAAATGGGACTAAATGGAGCATAAAAAAACTTTTAAGACTAAATGGTTCAACTTTTTAGAAACTAGGATTTATGGGTAAATTTTCCTAAATTATATAATAAAAAGTGAAGGTTAGTTGAAGTGCAGTGGCCAAAGCAGGTCAAATATGGGAGCAAATATTAGGGTCAGGCCCGGCCCTGGCCGGGCCCATAAGGCCATGACTTAAGACTCTTCAAAATAGATTTAAAATAGGAGTTCCTCCTATTATAAGTTAGTATAATATATTAGGTGTGTTTTAAATCAAAAATAAATTAAAAAAGATCCAAATTAACTTAATTTTTTTGACCCATTAAAAGGCCAATAGTTAAAGCCCAGCTTAACCATTTGAAATGCCCATTTTTTCTAATTTCTAGCCTTATCTTCTATTAATCCAACATTCCCTACATTTGTTTGATATAACACACACCAGCGGCATAGGGACGGAGTAGCAGAACAGGTAAATTATTTATTTATTTACTTATTTATTTATTTTCTATTCAATTAATTAAATATTTATCTTGTCTTTTGCACAATTAATTGCTATTATAATATTGGTATTTACATCATTAAAAAGAATTTATTTATATTTAATAGTTCACATCACATAATTTAAAAGTTTTGTGTTTTGTTAAGTGGGGTGCTCTTGTTTTAAATTTTGATTTAAAAAAATATTTTGATCTCAGCACAGCAAGCACACGTAAATTTTTTTTTTTTATTTAATTAATTAATTTTTTTTTCTAACTATTTTTTGTGATTTTAATACAAATCTTTTGTCCTTTATCTTAAATTTTTTTTTTCATTCAATAAAAAAAAAATATGAAGGCCCCCAGAAATTTAGTAGTTGATTATCGATTTTGGGCCCTGAAAATCTCAAATCCGGCCCTGATTAGGGTCCAAATCATTGACAATTATCCATAGCTGTCTTCGGTTCTCCTTCTTCATATTTTGGTTTTTTTTTTATTTTTTAAATTTTGGCTTTAAGCATAACATTACGCAAAGAGAAGTTGAAAATGTTGACATTGAACTTCAAAACTGCATTATTGTAATACGTGACAGTTAAAATAAATGAAATCTTTCTTTCATATAAAATCATGTAAGTTAGTATTTTGACTTGAATATAATTGACGTGTCTATCACTAAACACGTTCATCATATTCAATCAACTCGAATGAGATAGCGCTTTACTTTATACAAAGAGGTTTAGCTCCAATCCCATTAAAGAGAGGACCCTATTTTGAAGGTTTAATTAATTGATATTTTAAGTTTTTGTGGGTACATTGTTAATAAAATAATTAGATTAAGCTGATAATAGTAATCACATCATTTTAATATTTTTATTTTTTAGGCAAAATATGAAAAGTTTATTTTTTTGTTTTTCACAGCACAAACATATTAAAATTATATAATTACAATTATTAAATTAATCTAAGTATTTATTTATTGTTGGTGTGGAATACATTTCATATCATAAAAGTGAAACACTGATGAACCCATAAATTCCAACCGGACTTGAGACACTCATTCTTATTTTGAGTATGTGGAAATCTCAATAGAAAGAACTATCATCAAGTAGGTTGTCTATGTACATACAAATTTATATACACAATTTTTAATGCTGAAATGCACATAAAACTCATGCCAATACAAGCATATCTGTAAATGTGACTCAAAAGATCACATTCATGCTTAACTTTGACATGCTCAAGTTTTGTACTCTGTTCCTAAATATGTAGAGCATGCAGCAACAGATTTTGAGAACCGTTATTTATCTCCGTTTTATGTCGTTGGGTATATATGGCGAAACAAAATAGGAGAAATCGACCACATTAAAATTACCTACTGGGAGGTCTGTTTGATATCTAAAAATTGGTCAGCAACAGTTGAACAAGTGGAAAATGTTGGGGTGAGTCAAAAATGTTTGGGTAGAGTCGGATTTAAGTGTTGGCTAGGTTAGCTCAGACAGTTGAGGTCCGAGCACAGGTTGGAAACGGTCATGGGGAAATCCTTGGCAGAACGAATTATGTTTATCAACTATAAACCTTAGTCCAAGCAAATATATAGAAGAACACTCAACCTCTAAGATTGAGATACATGAATCCCACTACTCAAATTCACTGTAGTTGAGAGCTTCACTTGCAGAATCAGAGTGCTCATCACACTAGAGTTTTTACTCATCTTCCTCAATTAGTCCGATCAGATTTTTTTTTTCCCCTAATGCCTTGACGATGTACTCAATAATTATTTCAACATAAAAAAGCAACCAATCACAACCAATCATAAGCATCTATACAAGTAATAATACAAAACGATGACAAAAAAGTAGTGACATTCTAACATTATCTCGAAGTTCGTATGAGATAATTAAAATTGGCCGAGGCTGTAACGAATAGTTTTTGTATCAAAATTTAAAGCCATGCTGTCATGATTGGAATTCCAAAAGATTTTTCAATTGGGGACTCAGCTAAATACAAGCTACTCAACCTATCAACCAAGGAAATGGTTTGGATAGGCTAAATCTGAGAGCACAGCGTACCCGAAAAGGAAAATGCTATAAATTCCAAATAAGTTACGAAATTTTTTACCAAACCTCCTATAGAGGTGTGAAACCCACACAAACCTCTCACATAGTGAAAGATTTGATAGATTATTTGGAGTTACTAGCATAACTCTATCTCAAAATTATATTGGGTCCCAATTTAATGCCAAAATGACAGGTTTTTATTGCTAGGAAGCGAGTCTGAGATACCAATACTCTGCAACTTCCCACCACCTACCTGCATTGCATTTATTACCCAATTCCAAATTGGTTAGAGGTTGAAAAATTGATGATTCACTCTGTATTTCAGTTTCTCAATGGGCCTGACATAGGCAGTTCCTCCATTCCTGGGCTCTTGTTCAGCCACGTGGCACGAGCAGAATGCCAAATATGACATGTGGGAATAGGATTTTTTCGGTACAATAATACTATGATAATCATATTACGAATTAAAAATATATACGACAAAGAAAATTCTACTTAATCTACAAGGAAGCCATACTGTTGACATAGCAAGCAAAATATGATCATAATAGCAGTATTGTTTTCCAGATCATGTGTTGCTATAGAAGGTTTGGAAGCTTTTTATTTGTCATCTCTACTTTCATGAGCAATATACAGTTCTGTCTGTGTAGAATTGACTGCCTCTTGCTGTTGAACTGTATTTTTCAGCTCCCATCTAAATTTGAACTTGTCCGAAACAGTTTTGGAAAATTTGAAAATAACTTCTGGTGTTTCTTAAAAAATGGTAGTTTTCATAAATGTTTTTCGAAAATAATAAATTTCAGAAACCATTCACCAAACCCTGTGTTTTCTGAAAAATAAAAACAGATAGAAAACGAAAACATAACCCAAACAAGCATATGGAATGGAAGATGTACATACAAATCATGAAATGCTTCTAAGCTTATAAGTGACTAGTGACAGAAAGTTGGGGCAGCCAAGAATTAGAATGTTCATCACAATATGCAGATGCTGCGATAGATTGTATGTTGTAGCCAAAACCCAAATAGTTTTGATAAAAGAACTGTAGACAACAATGACAGTGACGAACAAAATTTCTTTCCAAGAATGTCATTTATTAGAGAAAATTACAATTTTGTATGACAGTTTATAATCAACATGAAGCAGCTTTACAATCCCCACCACCACCCATCACCACATTTGCACAACTAAGTCACTCGTACTCATCCAGTATTCCCTGATCTTAATCGGTATGCCACAAATGTGAATGGGATAAAAACCTCAAAAATGGATGCCCAATTTGTTTTCGCAAATGTCTATATCTCCTTAATCTGTGATTTTTCCTTATACACATGATCTCCATATCCTTCCTTCCAAAGAAATAACAATGATTGAAACATCATCATGGTAACGACGCCGATCCCCTTGTGGTATTTCAAGCAACTCATGAAAGTCCAAACCTAGAATTCACGAAAACAATGTAGATGACATTTAATTAGTTTTCCCAATTAGCGGTGTCAAATTGAGAAGGGTAGATAAGTAAGTCATAGTACCGGCTTTCTTTGCTGCACGAAACAGCAATTCCTCAACCAGATGCTGAGCAGGGTCCCCTTCAGGCGACCACGCAATGAAAAGTTCAACTTCAGAAACAGCTTCTTCATTTGTGAAGTACTGATAGAGCCCATCCGACGATAATATCAAAAACCTGTCTCTTGGCCCTAATCTATGATGGTAGAGATTTGGTAGACAGGTGATGTACGGAGAAGTTCCAACGTAGTCGATTCTAAACACCTCAAGAAGTGCATTGTTCCATTTAGGCTGCAAAAACAGAAGCAATGTAAAAGTGTCAAAGTGCAAATATAAACCAGCATTAGCCAAAAATGATGCACGGTGGGGAGAGGGGAAATAGCATAACGAAAGCTATTTGTTGCAGGAAATCCTATTCCCTCAGAAAGCCATTCGAAGGCTAGCTAGTTGTCATCGGATTGAGTTGTTTCCACTTTCTTCACACACCAAGTAGAGAGTATCCACATAACCATAACTGTGCTATTTGTGTTAATCCTGCAATTTCTTTTAATTTTGGCTTAAAGGTGATCTTTGAAGAGAGCACGAGAACACTATTAAAAGATGATCTTTGAACATTATTGGATTATCTTTGAATTGTTTTATGCCCTCCACTGAATAAAATGGTGTAGTAAGCTAATCAACATAACTGAAATCCAGATGGAGGAGCTTATTAATGATCATCTTCAAGTGCATATCATACTAATCTAGAAAGATGCCACCCAAAGTAGAAAGGCAAGTTGCTTCCCTCTGTGTTTGGGGCCAATAAACTTTGTTCTCAACAAATCATCAATCAACATTGTAGTTGTGTACTCAACCCACAGAATTCCTCACAACAATTTGAGGAATCTACTTTTCCGAAGCAAAAGAAGGATGCAAAACAACTTTACATTTTCAATCAGTTTCTATTCTTAAATGGGTATAAATCTAGAAAAATTTCAAAATCTAATCTTTATATACCTGCTTGAGAAAACCAGCCCCAAAAGCTCGAGTGACCTTCAACGAACCTTTCACGCGTTCATTCATCACGGCACAAGCATCATCAGGGTGTTCACTTTTTATTCTTTCTACTTCCTGAAATGCAACAACATAATGTCAAGTAAAATTCAAACAACATTCACAAAATTAATCAAATTTAAATTTTTTTAAAAAAATTGCAACAAATTAGCACCTCCTCCACAGAGGTGCTATGATCCACGGTGAGCTGAAAGGCAGCTAAACTGGGTATTGAGTTGGATCCATCACCATCACACACTTCAAGATCATGCAATGTTTCTTCTTTGATCCTCTCCAAGTCCTGTCTCCAAAGATCAGGCTCTGTTTTCTGAGCCAACACAGCTCGACTATCGCCCACATTCAACACATAAACATCCTCACCCTTCATCAGCATTACAAGAACACAAGAACCCATCAAGGCTAACTCAGGATTTTCCACAAGCATCTTATCTGCAATATCCAAATAGGCCTCTTCTGTTTTCCTCAGTGCCTGAGACAGAGCTTTCAACACATCCGAGTGATTTATTGTCCCTGAGCTGTTCGACCCATTTCGATTCAACTGTTCTTTTAGCCTCCGATCAAGCTCTAATCTTTCGCGGTCCCATTCGCACCTCCACCGTCTCTGGTTCTCCTCCCATTTCTTCGCCGCCCCTTTATACTTACTCTTGGAATTCTTAGGCCTCTTTTTCATTGAATTCGATTCGGAATTCAAATCACCACTTCCACATGGATAATTCTCTTGATCAACACACCGTGAACAGCTCGAAAGTCCAACATCAACCATGTCTGAATTCGAGTTTTCGGATGGAACAGAGGAATTGGGATTGGAGGACTCAAACTTGTCATCCCACAACAAACCCTTGAGCTCCTTATGAACAGCAGAGTAGAGATTGGAGAGAAGATAATCAGGTGCATCAGGACCGTTAAACCCATCGTAAATTCCTACGAAAACCCATCCGTGTTCCTCCGAAACAACGACATGAACTCGATCCTCACCGGCCTTTCCTTGTGCCCATTGAAGATTCTGACTACCCATTGAATCATCATCGTCTAAACTACCATCAGTGCTCAGATTCACACTGCTGATTGTCAACTCATTTTGCTTCTCACACCCAACAATCCAATCCTGTTCTTTCACAGAAACAACCCCTTTAATCGGTGCAACAATCGAATTCTGCCCTCGTGAAATCGTCTTCGATATCGCTCTCTGCAGGACCCGAATCAACGACCCTTTTCTCGATCTGGGTCGAAAAGCAAAACCCCCATGAGAGTAGCTCCTCTGGAAATGATCGTCGCTACCCTTTTCGAGAGGCCCCGAGAAAATTCCACGATCGAGAGGTCCCGACAAAAACCCTCTCTCGATCGGACCCGACATGAACCCCCTCTCCATCGGACCCGAACCCGGAATTCCCCAGGAATTGGGCGGCAGAGGACCCGAGCTCATGGAATTCCGGGGAATGGGTTGGAGAGGAATGGAAGCGAAAGAGGTGGAGCTCTCGAAAGCGGAGGCTCGATCGATGGAGTTGTAGCTGTAGAGATCGACCAAGGCTGTGGAGAGAGGGGTGGAAGTGTTGGCACTAACGGAGGCGCCGGAGATGGATCGGAAAGTGGTGGTGGTGTCTTCGGAGTGGACTTTGGAGGAAGAGAGACGGGCTGGGTCGGGTCTGACGTAGCAGAAGGAGTGACCCAGATCGTCGATGGGGTCGGAGATGACGAGGGACATGTCTTTTCTCCGGAGAACTCCCTCGTCGCGGGTGAAGCACATGCTGATTTTCCTTAAAACGTTACCCATCGGAAACGAAGAGAAATTGCAGAGCGAGAATCTCAGTGGTTTGAACGGTGTGCCTGAAATTTCATGGCAGAGAGAGAGAGAGAGAGAGAAGGAGAGAGATGGAGGAGGGCGATGAAGTAGAGAGAGAGAGAGAGAGAGAGAGACAGAGGGTTGACTTTGTTGAGATGACGAGGGACATGTCTTTTCTCCGGAGAACTCCCTCGTCGCGGGTGAAGCACATGCTGATTTTCCTTAAAACGTTACCCATCGGAAACGAAGAGAAATTGCAGAGCGAGAATCTCAGTGGTTTGAACGGTGTGCCTGAAATTTCATGGCAGAGAGAGACAGAGAGAGAGAGAAGGAGAGAGATGGAGGAGGGCGATGAAGTAGAGAGAGAGAGAGAGAGAGACAGAGGGTTGACTTTGTTAGTCGCGGTTTTGAAATCATAAAAACGCTTTCAATTTTGGTGTTTTTACTTTTTTTTTTGGTTTTGCTCTGTGTGTGTGTGTGTGTGTGTGTGTGTGTGTGTGTAGGCGTTGACAAAAGGTTGGGGTTTTAATAAGTAAACTTCATGGGGTTGGCGGGTTTGCGTGAACTCTTTGCGCTAGACTCGAACATAGAGCGTGCAAACACGCTCGTGGGAACCAGAATAAATTGACGTACCGTTTGGTTGCATTTTTTATATTTCAAAACTCAAAATTTATTTGGTTTTGGATTTTTACACAATAATTTAAATTTATTTTTCAAAATTTAAAATTAAACAAGTTTTGGATTTTGAAATCCAAAACTCTTTTTCACACAATATAATTTAAATATACTTTGTCTGATTTTCAAGTATTTGTCAAATAATTTTTATGTTTTAAATATATATGATCTACATATATTTAAATAGTAAACAAAATGTGAAGAAGTCAAAACAAATTTAATAACACATTAAACTTGTATTAGCTTTTAAATTTGGTGAAATTTTTATTTATTTATTTGTGTATATTTGTGATTGTTGAATAATTTTATAAAAGTTTTTTTTTTTTATAAATGTGAAACGATTTAAGTGTATGTAGTTTGAGTAGTTATAAAATTAAAAAAATATGTTAAAAATTCTAAAACATCATAAAAAAATAGTAAATATAGAGTGAAACTCTACTGTGTATATTAGATTAGATTCATCCAAAAAGTACTGTTAGATTGTGTATATGAAAGAAGTAAACAAATTAGGCATTGCGTTTTGAACAAATTTTTTGACTACAAGACAAAAAAAAAACACCAAAGCCAAAAAAAACTCATAACTATAAACAAGTTTTGAATTCAATTTTCTAAAAACTCTTTTGAAAACTAATTTGAAAATTCATAACCAAACAAGTTTTGAATTTTCAAAACTCCTTTGAAAATTATTTTTGAAACTAATTTCGAAACGAAATCAAACACGCCCTACTCGACTCAATTCTTTAAGAATTGGATTTGAAAGCGCACCCTGTTTTTGAAAACTAATTTGAAAATTCATAATTAAACAAGTTCACGAACTCTACTCGACTCGATTCGTTAAGATTTGAATTTGATATTGTTTGTTAAATAAATAAATAAGGGTAAGTTAGATTTTTAGACTCATTTTTTTTTATTCAAATAATAAAATAAATATATATTTTTATATATTTAAGTAATAGCAAAAAAAATCATTATAGAATTTCGAGTCGAACTTACGCTGGATTGGTTATTGAGTCGGGCTCGAGTTAAAGTTTTGAACTCAACAAACAAAGGAATTGTGTCTAACGGAGCTCGAGTTAGATTAGTTATTGAGCCAAACTCAAACTGGATTAATTACTGAGAGAAGCTCGAACCCGATAGACAATTGATTTGAGCTCTAGTCTTGTAATAATATTTTCAATCCTTTTTATTGAGAATATAATGGAAGGGCAAAAACTATCAAATAAAGTTAAGAATTTCATTGTTGTCTATTAATTAGAATAATATTATAACTATCGAATATTGACTCGTTCAAATTTGTACATATCGGTCGTTCGGTTGATTATTTAGAAACACGGGTGATAGTCGCAGTTGACAAAGGTGACAACTGCGGTTGACAAGAGTTGCACCATTCATCCAAGCGGTCATTCAGCCACTCGTTTAGCTTATAAAATTTGGACGATTCGGGTAAACTCAAATTCGGTGTATCAATTATTTTTCATTTAATTAATGATATTTTGTGAATTGTGTACAATTATTTTTTTTTTTATTTTTTAAACCATATAATTACGTAACTCTTACTACTGAACGGGCATATAACTAAATTGGTGTTTTGAAAAACACAGAATAATTACTGGTGAGTTTTTTTTCCTTATGAAATTTATTTTTTATTTGTAAAATGCAATTTTTAAATCATAACTTTTATGAAATGAATAATTAATTAAAATAACTCATAAATTCAAAATAATTTGCATTATTATAAAAATAATTGTTTTTAAAGAATTTCGAATTTGATCTATGAACTTGGGAATTGTTTGGCATGTACTACTATAGTATATCTTTTTGTCTTATTAAGATTACATTATTTCTTATTTGAATCATATCGCATTTCTACTATATTGCACACATTTTTATAAAAATATTAAAAAATATAAAAATATTAAAAAAATTAAAAATTCTATCAAATATTTTACATGAGTATAAAATCCATATAGAATTTACATTATGTAAATCTCACATTCATATAAAATATTTAATAAATTTTTTAACATTATTCTAGTTTATTCGCAACATTCTAAACAATCCTTTGAAAGGAGGAGAAATCATCAGTGTGAGTCACCTGCCGGGCAGGAGCGTGGCAGCGAGGACAAATCTTGGGGGAGATGAAACTTGATAAAAATTATGGTAAGCATCGAAAAGTCAAAAAACCAATACCCCAAAAATATACCTGGGTAAGTGTGTCACGATCACCGTTGGATCAAGCGTATGATGTTGAAGAATGAAAATGTTATGATATCGTTGGTTAATACTTCCATTAATAACACATTAAACTTGTATTAGCTTTTAAATTTGGTGAAATTTTTATTTATTTCCAAGTCCTGTCTCCAAAGATCAGGCTCTGTTTTCTGAGCCAACACAGCTCGACTATCGCCCACATTCAACACATAAACATCCTCACCCTTCATCAGCATTACAAGAACACAAGAACCCATCAAGGCTAACTCAGGATTTTCCACAAGCATCTTATCTGCAATATCCAAATAGGCCTCTTCTGTTTTCCTCAGTGCCTGAGACAGAGCTTTCAACACATCCGAGTGATTTATTGTCCCTGAGCTGTTCGACCCATTTCGATTCAACTGTTCTTTTAGCCTCCGATCAAGCTCTAATCTTTCGCGGTCCCATTCGCACCTCCACCGTCTCTGGTTCTCCTCCCATTTCTTCGCCGCCCCTTTATACAGCTTTACAATCCCCACCACCACCCATCACCACATTTGCACAACTAAGTCACTCGTACTCATCCAGTATTCCCTGATCTTAATCGGTATGCCACAAATGTGAATGGGATAAAAGCCTCAAAAATGGATGCCCAATTTGTTTTCGCAAATGTCTATATCTCCTTAATCTCACCCGCCATCCGCCACCCACCTGCCACCACCACCACCACCACCACTACCCACTCGCTACCACCCGCCATCACCCACCACCACTCGCCATCCGCCACCCACTTGCCACCACCACTCGCCACCGTCACCCACCTACCCACCACCACCACCCACTCGCCACCACCCGCTACCCACCACCCATCGTCACCACTTTCCACCACTGTCTTCCGCAGTCACTTGCCACCACTTGTCATTTCTCACTCTTTTTTATATTTTTAAATTTTTTTAAACATTTTGTCAATTACCAAACGCGTTTGTTGTTTATGATTTTCTAAAAATAAACAAAAATCAGTTTATAAAATTTTTATAAATATAAACTGAAAACGTAAACGTTACCAAACATACCCTATATATTTTACATTTTTTATTAAATAAATAATTAAAATCAAGTTAGACATACACAAAATAATCTATCTTTTTATTTTTTTTATCACATTACCTCTCTATTTTTTTACACATCTTTTCATAAAAAGATAAAAAGTGCACTTATTTAGGTCATCACAAACAACCCTTGTCTCATCGGAATAAGTAGGGGTGAGCATGGTCCGAATTGGACCAGATTGGGGTAAATCAGGACCCATCCGTTATCTACGGTTCTTGAAAAATTAAAACCAATCCAATCCTTTTAAATTGTTGAACCAATCCATTTAAATACGGATTGGATCGGTTTAAGATCACGGATTTACATAATTAAATGACAAAAAAAATATATATCACTTTAATTTCATAAAAATATAAATATAGCATCATATTAGTTTCACAATAACAACATGTCTTTTCATAATAGCGACATACTGTTCTAAAATTTAAACAATCATAAGAAAACTGGTTCTACCATAAGTATTTAAACTATTACAAATTAACATTAAAAACTAGCAAACAAAAGTAATAAAAGAAGATATTATGCGAGTTTAGGTTTGGATTTAAGTTTTATATAAAATAAAAGAAAATACTATGTAGGATGGCGTATAATAAAAATATAGACTATTTGTATACGGTCCGGATCGGTTCCAATCCGGAACCGTGGGATTCAATCCGGAACCAATCCGTGAATTATGGATTTTAATTTTTCAATCCGGAACTGAACCATGAATCCAAAAAACTAATCCAAACTTACCGGATTGGACTGGACTGGATCAGATTACGAATTTTACGAATTCTTTTCTCAACCTTAGGAATAAGTCACATTAGGTAAGACGTTGGACCATTTATTTAGGCCTTGTTTGGGATATCCTAAAAAAGTCAAAAAGTCAAAAAGTTAAAAGAAGATATTATGCGAGTTTAGGTTTGGATTTAAGTTTTATATAAAATAAAAGAAAATACTATGTAGGATGGCGTATAATAAAAATATAGACTATTTGTATACGGTCCGGATCGGTTCCAATCCGGAACCGTAGGATTCAATCCGGAACCAATCCGTGAATTATGGATTTTTAATTTTTCAATCCGGAACCGAACCATGAATCCAAAAAACTAATCTAAACCTACCGGATTGGACTGGACTGGATCAGATTACGAATTTTACGAATTCCTTTCTCAACCTTAGGAATAAGTCACATTAGGTAAGACGTTGGACCATTTATTTAGGCCTTGTTTGGGATATCCTAAAAAAGTCAAAAAGTTACTATCTTATTTGAGTCATATCATCTTATTTAAGTCATATCACTTCTCTATTACATCACTTTAAACCCAACCTATATTTTATAAAAAGTAAAAAAATACACTTATTTAGAACATGCCAAACAACTCCTTAATAGAAATTTTGATATTGCTACTGATGAAGGGGGAAGTGACACTTGTTCTCAGCATATTTATTAATTAAAATAATAAAACTTATATTTTAAAAAAATAATTTGACAAATATTAAA